TAATACTTTCTCTGGCAATAACTACACCATCTCTAAAATCTTTAGCTCTACCAGTTATAACTAATGCAGCTGAAGCATTAATTAATACATGATCTAATATAGCACATTCATATCCTCCAGATAATATCTTATTTAATTTAATAGCATTTTCTTGTGGGCTACCACTTATTACTGCTGATAAATTCTGTTTTTTTATACCAAAATCATTATCCGGTGTCACATCGAATTCAACAATATTACCATCTAACTTTAAATGCCAAATATGTGTTTTACCTTGTATTGATATTTCATCCATACCTTCTTCACTATGTACTATCATTGCACTTTTCACCCCTAATCTTTTTAAACATTGTATAAATAATAAACCCAATGATCTATCATATACACCAGTTAATTGATAGTCCGGTATACATGGATTAATTAATGGACCTAAAACATTGAATATTGTTTTTATACCTAACTGTTTTCGAATTGGACCAACATGTTTCATTGATGCATAACATTTTTGTGCAAATAAAAAACAGAAACCACATCTTTTAAAAATTTCACTTGAATATGTTAAATCTAAAGTAATGTTTGCACCTAATGCTTCTAATAAATCAGCGCTTCCACATTTGCTACTGCTACTACGATTGCCACATTTCACAACTGGTACACCGCAACTTGCTACTATAAATGCTGCTGATGTTGAAATATTGAATGTATCTAATCCATCACCGCCTGTACCAACAATATCTATTACACCATTACGGTTGATTGGAAATTGTAAGGCATGTGCCCTCATATTTTTTACTCCTGCTATAATGATATCAGGTGATAATTTATCAGGTGATAATAAAGCCAAAAATGCCGAAACTAATACTTCAGGTGATCGACCTGACATAATTTCATCTATCTGATGTTAAACCACCAGGAAGCATAATTGGCACTTTCTTTTTAATCATTTTTGCAATTGTCCAGTCGAATGTCTGGCCGCAATCGTCACTTGTCTTAACGGCGTCTAATTTTGTCATTGTTCTTGTTAGAGTCGACGTATGCTGATCAAAATTATTTGGTGGTGTTTTTGATGAAAAGAATGTGAGTGAATGCGTGTTATTTCGGCTGATTCACTCTGATGTTGTGGTTTTGCCACAAATTTATATTTTTTTCTCTATTTCTTCCGTAAATTGTTCCCATGAATTAATTTTGGGCATATTCTTAATATACCACGTTGATGCTTCTCCACGTAAAAGTGTTGTAAACCAGTCTAACTTTTCATGATCTAGACATTTGGCCAACTTGAATTCAACTGTTACCGTCTTCACCCAATCGGTAATGTTTTCCTCTTTGCTACCAGACAATTTTGGTGTTTGTGCTTCTAACGTTTTCCGGAGTAAATAAGCTATAATTTGGTCAGCAGTCATTGTATCAACCGGCTAGTGCACCAATTGTTAGGCTCCATCTAACTTGTTCGAATCTTCACCTGTATGTAAAAATGTTTTATTCAGCAACCAAAGGCACTCTCTAATATAGTATATGCCCCCGGACGAGAAAGAAAGAAAGGAAAAAAGAACGTAACTGTAAAACATGATGTAATATATACAACAGAGACCGAATCGGGTCTTACGTGGATGACCCGAACCCGACGCGACCCGAAGATTTTTTACCCGAACCCGACCCGACCCGAATCAATATTTTTTACTTTAACCCGAACCCGACCCGACCCGAACCAATATTTTTTACATTGACCCGAACCCGACCCGAGACAATCGAATCCGACCCGACCCGCGGGTCCACCCGACCCGTTTCGGTCTCTGATATACAATGGTGTCTCAGGATGGCATGATGCGATAATGACTATCTGAAAATATATTTCCTGGAAAGGAAATGTTTCTTTTATATAATGACGCAGTAGTACACTGACTCTACAGTATCTCTGTCCATTTTAGGTCTCATGACCTAACACGGTTTGTTTTTTGTTGTTGACGACTTGAGGACTGTAGGGTATTAAGCGGTGAATGTTGTACCGTAGAGTTTGGACTTTGAAAGCTGTTTGAAGCTTTATTAGTTTTATTAATGTACTCTTGGTTGAGATAGTTGATTGATAAGCTTACCTGGGTCCTAGCATTTCTGTAGATATGTAGTTTACTGTCAGATAGGCACAATGTGTACGAATTACAAGTATAGAAAAGCGAAAGAAGATCACGATTTAAATAATGTCGATCAGAGGAATTTAACTCGTTGTGAGAAATTACAGCAAATTATCAGCTGCATGATTTATTTGATAGGCAGCCATATTTAGATGCTATTTCAAGTCCAAGGAAAGTCCGTTTGAAGTCCAACGGATTAAAATCTTTTACATTCAACAGTTGAGTATAATCCGATACCTAATTTATTAATCTTCTTTTATCAAACATGCATCAATGTATAGATAAAATTTATTTACCACTCATATACGATCATGGCTTACTGTATAGTGCAGAAATATGAAGAACTTCGACTCGAACTTGCACTTGACTTTGGCTTCAGCTCCAGCGGACTTGGACTTGGAAATGGTCGCACTGGCCCATCTCTACTGGTACGACAGTTAAAGTTAGGAAAAAATATTTCCGTTCTTCCTAAGATTTAAAAAAACTGGTGAAAAACAGTTCAAAACCTTTCTG